TTTAATAAAATAAATTAATTACTTAAATATAATTCATAATTTGCAAACAAAAAATAACTAAATTAATAAAAAATTTTACTTAATGTATTATAAAAATTGAATAAAATATTAATATTTTCGTGTTGATAGAAGATGGTATAAGTGAACAAAAAAATCACATGTAATTTTTTCATAAACTAAACACACAAATATATGTAAAATAATATCTTAAAATCATAGTTTTTGATGAAAAAAATAATGCAAAAAATAATTTCTTATATCAATTCTTATAAATTTGTTACATTTTTGTGTTTCTCATTTGATTACCATCCCCTCGAACACACACACACATATATGTATATATATATATATATATATATATAGAGAGAGAGAGAGAGAGGGGCACGTTCAAATGAAAACCATGCAATTCTTAGATACCGTGTAAACAAATTTCGACCAATAGGAAAATTCCATTTTTTTCTAATTAAATTTAATCATTAATGGTATATTGGTCATTTGCATTGTTTTCTTTTAAATATGAAAGTTATTAATAAATCTTAATTAAGGTAACATAATAAAAAAAAATTTATAAATGATAACATTTAAATATTTAATTAAATTATAATATTAAAAATTGAGTTTTGTTATATTGTGTCTTGGTTTATTATTGCCAAGATTCATGAAAAACGTAAGTTATTAGATTAATAAATCCATGAAATCAGTGATAGAATAAAAAAAATATTCATGAAACCGGTTTCATACATGGTGAAATTGGTGCATGAAATAAGTGAAAATGAGGGTGCATGATGAAACCGGTTTCATACATGGTGAAATTGGTGCATTGAGTAAGTGAAAATGATTATGAAATGGGTGTATGATGAAACCGGTTTCATACATGGTGAAATTGGTGCATGGAGTAAGTAAAAATAATTATAAAATGAGTGCATGATGAAATAGGTGCATCATGAAATGAGTGCATGATGAATATGGTGCATGAAGAAATTGGCTGATGAAATGGGTGTATAAAGAAATTGGCTGATGAAATGGGTGTATAAATAAATTGGTTGATGAAATGGTGCATAAAGAAAGTGAAACCATTTCATAATTGATAAGAAAATGTTGTATAATTAGCGAACAGTGAAACAATTTCATTATTACGATGAAAAGGATCTATCTACCAATAACATGAAAATGACAAATGTCTCATCAGCATTACATTGATTAGTGTATTGATGAAACTGTGAAACCATGTCGGATTGCAAAAACTTTGTCGATGAAATGGGTGCATAACGAC